TCCTCTGTTGCGCCAGCTCCACTGGCTGCCAATTAGCTTCCGAGCACAATTCAAAGTGCTGGTGTTAACCTATAAATCCCTAAACGACTCCGGCCCAGTTTACCTGTCCGAACAGATTCTCCCCTATGAACCATCAAGATTGTTAAGATTGTCTGGAGGGGCCCTGCTCTCGGTCCCACCAGCCTCGCAAGCGCGCCTGGTGGGGACGAGGGACAGGGCCTTCTCGGTGGTGGCCCCTCAGCTCTGGAACTCCCTCCCACTGGAGATTAGAACTGCCCCTTCTCTCCTGACTTTTAGAAAACAGGTGAAAACCTGGCTCTGGAAACTGGCATTTGACAAGTGAGTCAATAACTCGTGGCTATATGGATGGATGGTGATGAACAACGATTTTATTGTGACGACTTGGCCATTGTAATTATATGATTGTATTTTTGGTATTTTAATGTGTTAGTGTACTACGGAATGTGATGTTTTTAAATGATTGCTTGTGATATTATTGTTGGAAACTGACCTGAGTCCCTCCACGGAGGTGAGAAGAAAGTTCTAAATAAATAATAAATAAATAGAAGGGGAAGGGGTCATATTCTGCACAAATAAGACTTCCAGTACAAACTAGTCACTAAAACGGAAATAAAATAATTTTGTAGGCAATCTCTCCAACTAACTAGCCTAACATGAAAATGAAAACAATAAGCATCACAAACTATTCTCTCACTGTAGGCAACAATGTGAAATATCTGAGCATTCTCAAGTAAAATCGGAGGTATTTGACTTCTTTAATCTTTTCAGAACTGAGCAGCTCAGTCAGATCTCAGCACTCTTCACTTCTGAACACAGGTCTTTTATTTCAACACATGGGCAAGTAAAGCTAATGTTGGAAGGTGCAGGCCTACTACTATGTAAGGAAACAACAATATCAACGAGGCTACATAATACAGCCAGCCAGCAGAACATCCAGATTTTTTTTGCATTAATATTTGACATTCCAGTTGTTTTATCGTCATCTCAAACAGGAAAGGAAATCTTACTATACATAATAAGAGATAAAAAAAGTCCTCTGTGCAAGATGAAACAGGATATATAAACTGGATACAGATACATAAGTACTAAATGATAACTCAGTTTACTTACATGTTACTTTATGTGATCCTGCATTTGAAGATGGTTCTGCAACCTTAAAAAGGAATGGAAGGTCCAAACAAATGCAACACATTTGTATTGTTATTCTAAAAAGAAAGCCCTTACAGTCAAATTTTCACCTCTCAATTTTGTCCAACTATACATCACTAGGGATTTTTTGGTTCATTTTCCAGTCAAGAACGTCTAGTGTTGATTCTACTTTGCTGAACACTACTGTGATCAGACCTGTTAGGGAATTCCTCATAGGAAGGAGGGAGCAAGATTGTTTTCTGCTGCCCTGGAGACTAGGATGAGGAACAATGGCTTCAAACTACAGGAAAGGAGATTCCACCTGAACATTAGGAAGAACTTCCTGACTGTGAGAGCTGTTCAGCAGTGGAACTCTCTGCCCTGGAGTGTGGCGGAGGCTCCTTCTTTGGAGGCTTTTAAACAGAGGCTGGATTGCCATCTGTCAGGGGTGCTTTGAATGCGATTTTTCTGCTTCTTGGCAGGGAGATGGACTGGATGGCTCATGAAGTCTCTTCCAACTCTATTATTCTATTATTATGAGAGCTTTCAGAAAGCACTGACTTACAGGTACAAAAAAAAAGTGGAATAACATTCCGGTGAACACCTGCTCAGTTGCTGTATGTTTGCTCAATATTAGAGCATTCGAATACACATTTGCATCCTCCTTTCCAGAATGTACTGCAATATTTATTATTTACTATATTTGTATACCGCTTTTCTCAGCCCTTGGGCAACTCAAAGCGGTTAACCATAGCAAAATTCAATGCTCAAAACATCATATTGTGAATAAAATTCCTAGAAAACACCCATTGAACATTTTGCTGTTCTTGAAAAAAAAGAAATCCAGCTCCAATAAGGACAAATGTGTGAGATTGTGTGAGCTTGTTACCTACAGTTCTATCTTCAACTTTTAAAATTATGATTACCAAATAAGTTATGTATCTTTAAGGTTCTGTGGCTCCATATGGAAATGAGTCCATCAATCACTCTATCCTATCAGAATTTGAAAGGAAAGTTATATGTGAATGTATGGCATCTGTAATATGATAATGAAATGAGAATATTTATTTCACACGCCACTCCTTTGATTAAAATCATGCCACCAAAAAGGAAAGACTAGATTCAATACTTGAGTCTTACCTAGTGGCATTTTCTTGGGACTTGTAGCCACAGAGAGTCATTAGCCAACTAGTGGAATGAGACTGGATTTCTTTTTAGGGAATTCCTAACTGTATTGGCCTCTGAAGCTCACGTTTCCTGCATGCTGAGCCAAGTAGCACTCCGAGACTATGGATCTGGGCTGTTTAAACACACCATGTTGGCTTTATATATTTTAATCATTTTAACATTTAATGCTTCTCAATTAAAGTGATTTCCTAAAGTAGATGCCAAGCTTAGTTTGAACACGCATTAACCATTTTCAGTTTTGGTAGTTAAAGGCACCAGAGGATTTAAATGCAATCTAGGGGGCTGTTGGGGAAAATGGTTTGGCTGAATAAAGCAGATTACAAACAATAATATATGCCTTCTCATCTTTCCTTTTTTATTCTTGGAAGGGATCCAACCTCACAAACAGCCCTAAAGTGCTATAAACATATCCAGGCCTAAGCTCCGTAAATGTACTCTGTGGAAGCTGTGGGCACTGATGTTTGCCACTTTGCATCTGGGCACGCACCAAGCATGTGTTATTTTGAGAGAGCTTTTTAGTACACGAGATGTCCATCAGAGAGAGCTTCCCTTAAAAATATTAAAATGCCAACAAGGATAACCTTCAGCACAAAAGAATAAATAAATCCTGGCTTCCAGGCAAAGTAGCTGTTATACGCCAAAAGAACACAGAAAGGTGACTGCTCTGTTCTTTAACTTTTGCCAAGGTCTCTGTAATACAAATCCCAAACTGGAGGCTGATTTCTTGAATGCGGAACAGATAGCAGGTGCTAGCCATGCTACAACAATCATAGCTTTAAATGATTTAAATCACACCATGAAAGAAGATGCACTTGATGCTATGTCCAGGACATCTGCACATGTACATTTCCCTTAGATGGGCAGATATCCTCTCTGAAAAGCTTCTGAAACCACTGTTTTCTGCTCTGTATGGCTACATCCCCATAGGCAGACACAAAAAACTTGATGTTAGGAAAGAGATCAACATGGAATTGGTTATTAAGTTAAGAATTTGAATGCAGAGGCGATGCATCCATAGCTCTTCAACACACACTCTGCTAGGAACCTTTTTTCATCTATGGTGGTCATGTAAGAAGGTCAAAAAATTCTGGAGGAAGATACATGAAATTTCAAATAAGATACTTGATCTGAGAATAGAGGAGCCTCCGGTGGCGCAGTGGGTTAAACCCTTGTGCAGGCAGGACCGACAGGTCACAGGTTTGAATCCGGGGAGAGGTGGATGAGCTCCCTCTATCAGCTCCAGCTCTTCATGCGGGGACATGAGAGAAGCCTCCCACAAGGATGATAAAAACATCAAATAATCCAGGCGTCCCCTGGGCAACGTCCTTGCAGACGGCCAATTCTCTCACACCAGGAGTCACTCCTGACACAACAAAAAAAATAAATAAATCTGAGAATAGAGATGAAACCAGAATATTACCTCCTGAGAATATTAGATTTTGAAATTGATAAGAACAAAGATAAGTTACTCTTTCACATGACCACAGCGGCGAGAATTACATTAGCTAGAAAATGGAAGAGTAAAGTAATGCCAACTGTAGAAGAATGGACACTGAAGTTACTAGATATAATGAATATGGACACAATATCTGAAAACCGAACTGGCAACCGACTCGGATAGAACGGACTGGTCTCCAATCAAAAATCATTTCAATATTAACCAGATACAGGCCAACGAGAGGGAAATCTAGAAGAATTTGTCGTTACTAACATTGCTATAAGGGAAATAAAAATCATTAAGATAATTCACTAACCCTTCCCGCACTCTTTCCCCTCACTACATTCCCATAACCTCTTCACTCCTGTTCCCCCCCTTCCCCCATCTCCCCTTCCCCTTCTTTTTTAAAAATATAACAACATGCTGATGATTAAAATCTCTCAGATGTATCCCCTTAAAAATAAACCCTACTAAAAATTATACACACACACACACACACTCTGCTCTAAAAAGGTTGCCCCTTTTTGTATGATGAATTGTGTGTCTGTCACTCTGATCTCTATATGCACCTGTATCCTCATCTTTATGTATCCTTATCTGATTTCAGTCAACTCTATAACCCTTTACAGAAGACAGATACAACTATTCTAACATTTTCAGGACATGGACAAGAAAACCCTGGAAACCGAGCTAGAAACTGAGCTAGAAAACAGCCTACCCTGGTTATCTTTGAGTAGGAAGCAACACTCAAGGTGGCAAAAGGCCACAAAGACAGAAATATTTAGCTACTAGATGGCTTCAGGTTGAATTAATTCAAATGACTATTTGTGAACTTGATTATTAGCAGCCTTTGTTGTTCTTTTTCAGACCTTTGCAATATGATCCACATACCACATTTCTGGTGACACCTATGGCAATTGCTCAGTATAATTTCTCTAAGGGCAAAGGAGTCCAACTGACTCCAAATTGTAACAGCAATTCACAGCAAACGAACTCTAAGCTGTATAATAAATCTCTTCCTCACTTTCTAAATCCTTAGCCGTTCATTGTCATACTTCTTCTTAAAGATGCTTTAATGACAAAATCTTTTTAAATACTCCCAACACCTCTCGTTTCCAAAAAGGAAGTAGTAAAGACAGAACTTCTGGAATCTCGAAAAATAATATTTCACAGTACACAGGTTGGATTTCATACCTGTCAAGGGAAAGGAACAAATCACACACAATTCTTGGATTATTTTTTATCGTGCAAGACAGTATTTTACAACAGATACAGAGGGATACATATAATGGACAATGCCATCAGTTTTGACCTTTTGATTAACACTGTATGTAACAGCTCCCCCCCCCCCCGCCCAATTTTGTCATTTTGATTTTCAGGAGGCAGTAGAAAAGTCCTCCATTCTGACAACTTAGAAAACTCAAGGAAATAACAATAGTGACACAGTACTTCCTTTGAGTAGTAAGTCATTTTTACTATACTGAAAATGTTGTAAACGGATTAAATTCTCCCCTCTCACCACTCCTTAGTTTCTTTTGTCTTACAAAAATTGTATTTTGTGAAAGAGCAGTCACTTTCACAACTCAACACTATGCATATTCACTTGGGAAAGCAAGTTTCTATAGGGCTTACTCCAAACACATGTAGGATATCAACCTTAATGTGGCCTTTGCCCACACGGTCATAATAATGCAAAATTAGCCTCATGCCTCAACATTTCTACATAACCAAAAACATCCCATTTGCCATATTTAGTGGGCCACCTAAATCTGATTTAGTTCACCTTGTATGTTGTACACTGCATGATCATCTGGATTTGTTTTCCTGCCATAAAGCCCTTTCCTTAACAAGGCTTACTTTCCATATATCAGGCATAGCAATGATGTCCTTCTGTGAGCATTGAGCTGGGACTATTCATGTGCTTCCTTGTTCTTTTGGTTAAGCCTTTCCAGCAGTGTGTTCCTGCAGCATGGAGGTGATTACTCGACAGTCTGTCACCTCTTCAGGCAAGTATCCTTCTATATCCCGAAGAGTAGGGTCAGCTCCGGATTTCAGCAGTAGTTCCACAATGTCAGAAAACTCACAAGTAGAGGCTAGATTTAAAAAGGGGCAAAGGACACACATGTTACAATGAAATGCTTGCACAGTGCCTGATAAATGATGTGTTTGAGAACTTCAGAAGCAAAACAATCTGAAAGCCAAAATGAGATGGGGAAACTGAGATTGAAATCTGGTCAAGATCAACATTCCATATTCTGGCAACATACTAAGGACCACAACTGCAGTTTCTGACAATGTACTTTAAGTCACAGTGGTGAAAGCATTTAATAAGGAAAGGTTATTTGGATCTTGCTTTGTTGCTAGAAAGGTAAAGCATATGAACTCTGAATCCTAGCAGAAGAGAAAAGCCAGCTAGCAGAACTTGGAGGACATGGTGGCACCTGAGCTATTAACTATAGTCAGTCCTCTCTATTCACAAATTCCATATATTATTTTTATTATTTATTTATTAACTTTATTTATACCCTGCTAACATCTCCCGAAGGACTCGATGCGGCTTACAAAGGCCAAGGCCCTCAATAAAACAACAGCATAACAAATACAACAATAAACTCATAAAGCAAACCACTAAACATAAATCAATAACAGTAAAACAATAAAACAGTACATCGTGACACATTTAAAACTAGGCCCGGGCCAAATGTAATGGAAAAAGTTAAAAGTGCTGGACATGACAGGTGACATATAAGGATTTTAGGGTAGGTGCGATGTGCAGACAATCTTAAATCTCTAGTAAAGTGCATTTGGGACATGATGCTGGGAGTTTCCTATTCTGGAAAGGCACACTGGAACAGCCAGGTCTTCAAGTTCTTCCTAAAGACTGCCAACGTTGGGGCTTCTCTGATGTCCTTGGGGAGAGAGTTCCAGAGTCAGGGGGTTACCACAGAGAAGGCCCTGTCCCTCGTCCCCACCAAACGCGCTTGCGACGCAGGTGGGATCGCGAGCAGGGCCTCTCCAGATGAACGGAGGGAACGTGTGGGTTCATATACGGAGATGCGGTCACGCAGGTAGGCAGGTCCCAAACCGTTTAGGGCTTTGTAGGTGAGCACCTGCACCTTGAATTGGGACCGGAAAATGAACGGCAGCCAATGGAGCTCCTTAAACAGGAGGGTTGACCTGTCTCTGTAAGGAGCACCAGTTAACAACCTGGCCTTTCCGAGCCGTTTTCAAGGGCAGCCCCACGTAGAGCGCATTACAGTAGTCCAATCTAGAGGTGACCAAGGCATGGACCACCCCGGCCAAATCAGCCTTTACGAGGTATGGTCACAGTTGGCGTATGAATCTCAATTGTGCAAAAGCCCTCCCGGCTACCGCCAACGCCTGAGCCTCAAGCATAAGTGATGAATCTAAGAGGACTCCCAAACTGCGGACCTGTGACTTCAGGGGGAGTGTAACCCCGTCCAGCACAGGTTGCCACCCTATACCTCGATCCGGTTTACGATCGACCAGGAGGACCTCTGTCTTGTCGAGATTGATCTTCAGCTTGTTCATCCTCATCCAGACAGCCACAGCGGCCAGGCACTCGTCCAGCACCCGAGGGGCTTCCTTGGAGTTAGGTGGAAATGAGTAATAGAGTTGTGTGTCATCTGCGTAGAGATGGCACCCAACTCCAAAACTCCGGATGACCTCTCCCAGCGGTTTCATGTAGATGTTAAAAAGCATGGGAGATAAAATAGAACCTTGCAGGACCCCACAGGTCAAAGGCCAGGGGTCCGAGCAGGCATCTCCCAGCTTCACCATCTGGGATCGGCCCTCCAGGAAGGACCGGAGCCAGGACAAAACCATGCCCCCGAGACCCATCCCAGCGAGTTGTCCCAGAAGGATACCATGATCGATGGTATCGAAAGCCGCTGAGATGTCCAAGAGGACCATCAGGGTCACACTCCCCCTGTCCAGCTCTCTACGGAGGTCATCCACCAAGGCGACCAAAGCCATCTCGGTGCCAGGTCTGAAACCCATATATCCCATTAGACCTTGTATTGTGGAGTCACATGTTGTGGAAGGGGCCAGGGGCTGTTTGTGTGCTGGGAGAGCCATCTAGCAATAATCATCTGAAACTCTATGCTCCAACCTTTCAAGGAGTAAGGGTTTCATGAATGGTTTGTAATTGTACAGCTATACCCATTTCAAATCGGATCTATCTTTTTAAAAACACCCTGTATTTGAGCAACTATGCTATGATGGGCATTTGTAAAGAAATATGTCTTCTTGGAAGCCATTTTACGCAAAGATGGCATCTGAAAGAGCTCTTGCAATTTGTCAATTGTTTAGTTGAGAATGGAGGAAGACAAGATAATTTAATGCCATCACCAATTACATAAGTTCATGCTCATATTCATCCATATTAACTTTAACATTTCATTAATTATCCACTATTTGCCTTTGGCTGAATAGGTGAACAGAACTGGAAAGAAGCCCAGATATCTGTACTAATAATGGGGATATGGCAAACTCCAATGGAAAGTAGTTAAAATGATCTGAACTCTTAGCACAAGTTAACCAAGCAAGTTTGCATAAGGAATGCTTCTTCTCCTGCCTTCTGCCTACAGATCTCTGAAGCCCTTATCAAACTTTTTCAAAGTCCCATCCAAGGCTTTTTGGGAAGTTGTAAATGCTGTTGTGAGAAGCATTATCAGAAACACTTATTGAGCCATAAGCAACTAAGAACTGCATGACTGGGTGGCTGGGAGGGCCTTTGCACAATTAAAACTCGTGCGCCAGCTGCACCCGCACCTCGTGAAATCTGATCTGGCCATAGTGGCCCATGCCCTAGTCACCTCCAACTTGGATTACTGCAATGTGCTCTACATGTGGCTGCCTTCGAAGATGTCCCGGAAACTACAGTTGGTTCAAAGATCAGCAGCCAGACTACTCACGGGAGTTGGTTACAGAGAGTAGTCAACCCTCCTGTTTAAACAGCTCCACTGGCTTCCAATAAGTTTCCGGTCCCAATTCAAGGTGCAGGTCATCACCTATAAAGCCCTAAAAGGTTCGGGACCTGCTTATCTCCGTGATCGCCTCTTCCCCTATGAACCAGTGCGTACCTTGAGATAATCTGGGGAGGCACCGCTCTCACTCCGCCCCCAACCATCACAAGCACGGCTGGTGGGGACGAGGGAGAGAGCCTTCTCGGTGGTGGCCCCCCGGCTCTGGAACTCCCTCCCTAGGGAGATCAGACAGACTCCCACTTTGTCCTCTTTCTGGAGTCAACTAAAAACCTGGATGTTCCGGTGTGCTTTCGATTAAGCAGCTCACTAGTATTTTTTCCTGTCTCCATTGAGTATAGCACTTTATTCTGGCCCTCATATACGAGGGGTATTTTTTAAGTAAGGTCTGTTTTGTTGTAGACACTAGTAGTTCACGCACATACCGCAATGAGCGCGTGCGTTGTGTACCGGCATGCTCTCGGGAACAACTGTGCTCAGTTTCCGCTCTGTAGCTAACCTGTACAGTTCTGTTCTGTGCTTTAAAAATGTTTAAGGCTATCAACTCACCCTCTGCATGTGAGGTTCGCTCAGTGATACGGTTTTTGTCAGCAAGGAACCTGCCTGCTGCAGAAATTCATCAACACATTTGTGAAGTGTACAGTGATACTATTATGAGTGAAAGCAAAGTGCGTAAGTGGGTACAACAATTCAAAGATGGCCGTGACAACATCCATGATGCGGACCGCTCCGGTCGCCCTTCTTTGATTACAGTGAACTCTTGGTTATCGAAGCAGGCGGCAAGTTTTTATGAAGAGGATATTTTAAAATTGGTTCAGAGGTATGATAAGTGTTTGAACAAATTTGGCAACTATGTCGAAAAATAGAGTGAAGTATGTACTTTCTGAAAATAAATTTACTTTTTTGAAATAAACTTTCGTTGTGTACTTATGTTCAAACGGACCTTACTTAAAAAATACCCCTCGTAGTTTACCTCAATATGGTTTATGACAGTATTTCCAGTCCAATTTACTGGTTTGTCGCACTTTTCTTGTGCTCCTGTAAAATGTATCACACTCATTGAATTTGTACCTCTGTTATGTTTTTTTTTTCTTTTCAGCCATATTGCTCTTATGTTGTGTATAATTATATTGCATTGATTTTACTTGTGTGTTTTAATTGTTTTTGGTCTTGTCTCTTGTAAGCTGCCCTAAGTCCCCTAGGGGAGATGGTTGGCGGGGTATAAAAATAAAGTTATTATTATAATATTATCATTATGACTAAATGAATAAAGAAAGGAATTACTGGATTAAGCTGGTCCCTTTTCCGTAAGTTTACTTAGTTTAAGTTAGGAGCTAAGCCTTTGTAAATAACTTTCCATGCAATCTCTCCTATTCTATGGAATAACAGAAATACCATTCTACTATAATACAATTCCTGGGACTAACCTGATATTTTATGACAATTCATGCAACAGATGAGTACCTTTCCTCTTTATTTTTCTCCCTTACAAAAGGAAATCTAACTCCAACTATTGCACTATTTCTGTAGTAGTGATTAATATGATTCCATTCCCTCTCTTCCTAAAATAGCAGCACTGTAAGTACATTGCTAACAAAAATTTCACTAGCCAAAATGATGCAGACATCTTAGAATATGTCTCAGTGACTGCTCAAAGTATCAGTTACTTGAGCCAAATAATATGGAAGTCCTGTACGCCTAGATTTTTCTTAGAGAAGAACAGAATGACTTTAATGCAAGAGTGAGAGTGGTCTTGTGGCTTTACATTTATTCTAGTTAGATGCATTAACTATAACATGACAGTCTTTCATGCCTTAAAATCAGAAAAAAAAGCAATGAAATGTTACATTCTAGGCTGTTGTGTTATGGAAACGTAATTCCACAAAACTATTCTCACTTGTGTTGTTGTAGGTTTTTCGGGCTATATGGCCATGTTCTAGAAGCATTGTCTCCTGACGTTTCGCCTGCATCTATGGCAAGCATCCTCAGAGGTTGTGAGGTCCTCACAACTTCTGAGGATCCTGCCATAGATGCAGGCGAAATGTCAGGAGACAATGCTTCTAGAACATGGCCATATAGCCTGAAAA